ATTTTTACTTTGACCTGACCTGTGACGTCATCGGTGACCTCAAGGTCAATGAAATTAGGTTTCGTTCGACAGTTTTTCCGGGGCTATCAGACGCCGTTTGAATTTTGACGATCGGCGCAGTAGTTTCGGAGTTAGGAGGGGGGCTATGAATAGCCCCCCCCCCCCCCCCAGTAGGGCGTGTTATACACAGACCCCAGTGGGGCGCGGGTTAATAGCAGAGGGCAGGACAACTTTTATTTTCTTGATGAGTTTTTTTTTTGGCTTAAAGGAAGACTGCCACCTTTTTTTTACACAAAACGGTTTTCACTAGACCTAACCCACCTATGACCTACCCTGAAGTCTGTTTCCCGAAATTCGGCCTAGTTTTCAAGATATCCGCAATTGGACTTCAGATTAAAGCCATCACAAATGTGTGGAATATGAGAATGTAACATTACCAGGTTAAAATCCCATCTCCCACACTTTTTGTGATGGCATCAATGTGAAGTTCGAATGCGGATATCTCGAAAACTAGGACGAATTTCGGGAAACGGACTTCAGGGTAGGTCATAGGTGGGTCAGGTCTACTGAAAACCGTTTTAAACCGAAAACCGTAAAAAGGTGGCACTTTAACGACGGGCGAGACAACATGTTGTACCTCACCTTTGGACAGCCAAACGTCGTTGGTTTTGCTATTAGTCAAAAAGTGTTGTTTAACTCTAGTGATATTGAAAAGTCATGGTTGTCTCCATTCAGGTTGTCTCCATTCATGGTTGTCTTCATTGTCTCCAAATATACCACAGTTACATGCAGTTTGATACCTACTTGCACTCCATACTTAAGCATGACAGCGGAACATCGGGTACTAATTTCTTATTTCACTGAAATATTTTAACGACGTATAATTATTTTGTAATTATGCACCACGTTTAGTTGCAAGAGTGTATCGTACTACGCAAACGTACTACGCATCGTACTACGATTTTGAGATTGAAAAGAAATCAGGAAGAAGCGAAGAATCGTCTCCAGATACTGATGGCATAGCCAGCTACTGTACGAACACGGTTCCTTGTTTCTCTCCTAGGTTTCCTTTACGTTTATTTGTACGATATGCATTGATGCCAACTGACTGCAATATTCTTTTCCACGGCAGACGACGAGCTGCTAGCTCTATTTGCCTATGGTTGTGGAACAACCATTAATTGGCACCTTGGCGGATCCGAGAAACGGGGTTCGTCAGGCAGGTGAGGAACTATCGGTGGACGGTGTGGTGGTCTGCCAACTGCCGGCCACCAGGTTGGAGACCGTGGCCCTAATGACGGCCGCCCACGCTGTCTTCTACACAAAGTTCACGGGGCTCTGCAGAGTGCAGGGCCCTGTTCGAGATTCTTCACCAGAGTGTGGGATTCGATGTAAACCTATCTGGCTTATCACAGAAGGTGTGGGAGGTTACCCAGGTAGTGTAGAACCAGCATCGGAGATGCCCACTTTGAATGACTGGCGACCTGTGGCTCACCTGTGGTTCAAGTGACTCGTGACTTGTGGCTCACCTGTGGCTCAAGTGACTCGCAACGTGTGGCTCACACTACTGGAGCCTCTGTATTATGACTAATTCAGCTGCGGCGGTCTCAGTACGCCAATGAGTCTCAGTACGTCTTTCATAGCCCAGATCACGCTCGTTTTATATGTCATCCGTGGCGGTGGTTCTGTGCGCAGATGTTATTCGTTAGCCTCAGTGTTAACCATACACGCTCGTTTTATCTGCCATCCGTGGCGGTGGTTCTGTGCGCAGATGTTATTCGTTAGCCTCAGTGTTAACCATAACGCCCTTGTGAGTTGTGACCTTGAACGTCCTTCCAGTGATTTCGCATTGCGGCCGGCAGAGACGAAGTTTTGCCTCCCAGTTGAGACGCCGCTTCTCAACTAGGAAGCAAAATTACGTCCCTGTCGGCCGCAATGCACCATCACTGGAAGTGCGTCCAAATTAAGATGTACCTGCTGATGCTCAGGTACCATTCGTTAATCAATTGTTGGTGTTTCAATACATTGTTTAAATGCATTCCTTATTTTACACTTGGTCATAAAATTATCACATCACCCCGCATTATCAGGGGTGGTACTTTTACACCGGGGTTTGATTTTACCGGGGAGTTACTCCGGGGTAAAATTATCGAAAAAAGGAGTGCTTTTTGGCATGGCAATATTATTCCCCGAATGGGAGTAATTTAAGTATTAAGTTAATAAAATTATCATCTGGTGTAATTTTATCCAAAGATAGCATACTTTTATCCTCCGTCATAAAATTACTCCCTAGCGCGAATAATATAAGCGTTCGGATACTAAATATATTCTATATGCTAGTTTTATTCCCCAAAACTCCCCATTTTAGGCGCTTATGCCAGGTCATAAAATTATTCGATTGCAGGAGTGCTTTTTGGCATCCTAAAATTAGAAAATGGGGAGTAAGTTTTTTTCAGTGCATTGCAACGGACTGAAACGGACTCATATGCCGTCTGTGTTTCTATGATATGCTGCGATATGATGCTGCGATAGCATATTCAACAAAAATAAAATATCAGAATAATATTTATCGGAGTAACTTGAGTGATAAGTACATATATATTCAAAAAAAAAAAATGCAAATATTTCGACACACTTTGCGGTAGTCTTTTTCAATGCAAATGGCACACAGTGCTAGTTTGTTAGGCACAACAAAAATCATCATTTTCCCATGCGATCGATAGAGCCGGATCCTTCACTACGATTATTAAACTAATTTATCACATCAGCGAAAACTACACTATTTACTACCATATCTAAATTTCAATACCTGTGACTCCAGTCACAGGTACTTGTCCAGGTCCATGTCCAGGTACTTGAACTTAGATATGGTAGTAAATAGTGTATAGTGTTTTCGCTGATGTGATAAATTAGTTTAACCCGCGCCCCACTGGGGTCTGTGTATAACACGCCCTACTGGGGGGGGGGGGCTATTCATAGCCCCCCCTCCTAACTCCGAAACTACTGGGCCGATCGTCAAATTTCAAACGGCGTCTGATAGCCCCGGAAAAACTGTCGAGCGAAACCTAATTTCATTGACCTCGAGGTCACCGATGACGTCACAGGTCAGGTCAAAGTAAAAATTATTAGCATTTTGGCTTGTTCACGTTTTGGGCTCTGGCCGCTGTCTTACAAGTCAGATCAGGCTCATTTTTGGATCACACACTCGGGAACAGATGCTCTTGTTACCCTGAGGGTACCAAACTTGTACTTTGATTTTCAGGTCAAGGTCAGGTCATCACAGGTCACGAAAATATTATATCATGCGTCGGTCACGTGACACATGGTATATGGTCCGTTTAGGTCAGAGATTTCGAATTTGATGTCGTTTGTGTCATTCGAGGTCATTTTGAGTCGAATTTAGCTTAGGTCAGGTCACTTTCAGGTCAAAAAAGGTCAAATTTTGAAGTTATAATTTTTCAGCAAAAAAGGTGTCTATTGGATGCAGTTTGAGCTCAGGAACACGATGGTGCCATTTATATTGGTGTACGATGTCAAATACGTACTGAAAAATTGATTTGAAAAATTAATAATTGTGAATTTTTTGCAATAATGCGTATAACTTGGCCATTTTTGAAGATATTTAGCTAAAACTTGCTAGAGTTAGTCATAATAATGCGTTCTATCACATATATTCCGGTTTTTTCGAAAAGTCAAAAACTTTTTGGAAAAAATGTAAAAATGTAAATTTTGAATTTTATTTTACAAAATTTTCGAAATTTTCAAAATTTTGAAAATCCGAGATAGCAGTTTGATAGCCCAGTCTATTCTGAGTCCTCCCATGCAAAGAAATTGGATCTAGCTTAAAAACTGAGCCCTTGGGAGCGATTGCCGTGGTTCAATGTTTTGCGTCGAAATCGGCCGAACATGACGTCACTCTGACGTCATTTTCGGCTGACCTATGGTAGCTACGAAGTTCAAATTTTGACACAAGGTGTCAAATTGATGCAGCCTAAGGTACTGAAAGTTTGGCGTCGATACGTCAAGCGGTTTGGAAGTTATTGCCGAAAAACGGGAGGGGGGGCTATAAATAGCCCCCCCCCCCCCAGTGGGGCGCGGGTTAATAATCGTAGTGAAGGATCCGGCTCTATCGATCGCATGGAAAATGATGATTTTTGTTGTACCTAACAAACTAGCACTGTGTGCCATTTGCATTGAAAAGGACTACCGCAAAATGTGTCGAAATATTTGCATATATTTTTTTGAATATATATGTACCTATCACTCAAGTTACTCCGATAAATATTATTCTGATATTTAACCTACTTGAGTAAAAACAAGATGACTCTGAAGTCGTATAAAAATAAAATAGGTACCGTAAACCGGGGTCACTTTGAACGCCTAGGTGACTGAACGCCATTCCAGTGGCGGCACCTGGCGGCCGGCAGAGACAGAATTTTGCCTCTCATGTTGAGAGGAGCTGCTCAACTGGGAGATAAAATCTCGTCTCGACCGGCCGCAATGCGCCACCGCTGAAAAGGCGTTCAAAGTTACCCTGGTTGACGGTACATACACGTAACACAATACACGTATAAGTATCCTGGCTGTGGCCACTTTTGTATGGCCCTGGCTATCTATGGCTACCCGCGAACAGTTCCAGTGATCATCACGGCAGGGAGGTCGCGAGCTCGATTACACTGGCGTGTTTGTTTCGCACACTCGCGTTCACCACTTTATTTGAAAATATATTCCCAGAAGAAAAAAAAATATATTCCAGGTGATGGAGCTAACATTCCGTGATCGAGGTGATGGGCTCACATTCCGCGATCGAGAGTTGTTTGGTAAACGATGGAGCGTTTAAATACGGAAGGTGAGTTCCAGCACCTGGGATGTTGTTTTTTCGGGAATGTACCTTTAAACTCTACATCCCCCGAACCTACTCCTACACCGTTCCTACACTGTACTCCTACACTTCCACACCGAGCACTTTCTTCGCGGCCTTGCTGAACGGAATCCTGCCTTTCACCGCCCTATAATAGATGACCTCCATCAGGGTTTTGGAAGGCCCTCTGAATGGGCAGTAGAAGACCGCATGAGCCGCAGCTGCTGCGGCCACAGCTGCCAGCGGTGCCTCCTGATCAAGCGGGAGTTCCGCTCCCTGAACCTCCAATCCTGAACCCTCAATGCATCTCACCGCATTCCGGGGGTCCGCCAGCTCCCCCACCGTGGTGCCGCAGCCGTGGGCGAGGAACGACATGAGTTCTTTGTCTGTGAAAAGCGAAAGAAATATAGATGATTCCAATGCTACTTTAAACGTTGCGCTATCCACCAAGGTGCAGAAGTTTTAATGGAGGATGGAAGAGGAGTTTCTATCCAGAGGATAACTGAAAACGTTTTCCTGGATAACCTGGCGGGGAACAGTTAACCTATTCCGAGATATCCCTTTAACGCAAGCGCGAGCGTTTAGCGATCGGCATTTTCCATTTTCGACTGAGCGCTAAAAGCCGCGTCAAAATTTTTGTTTTATATAGGGCATCATAGGTGCAAAATTTGAGCGAATTCGAAGGGGTCATGGTGTATGTACATTAGCGTGGGGCGAAAAACACTTTTTTTTGGAAAGTGCAAGGTATAACTAGTGAACAACTTGGGCCATAGTTTCAAATGAACACATGCAAAATCTTAAGCCTATCGGTCAAGCCTAGACATGAGCGCATTTGCGATGAATGAAGGTCTGCAAACGCTTTCAGGCGTTGCAGTCTCTTATGCTAAGGAGCCGTTGCGATTGGTGTGTAACACCGGAATAAAAGCGATTCGCGAGAAAAGACGAGATCAGTGGACTAATGATGGCGTATTTCATCAATACTGAATCCCACGGGCCGACCCAGGGTCCCTTTATCATCAACATGGATCCGGAACCTGGATCTAACGAATCCCTGGATACAGGATCCGGGTGTCTACATACATCCTTATATTATGTTTTCAAAGTCAATGGCCAATGCATAGGCTAATTGTTCATCCATGGATGCCGAATCCTGGATCCAGTGGATGCCGAAACCTGGATCCAGTGGATCCCAGGATCCAGAATCCAGGCAGCTACATTCGTTCATTTGCTGTGTCATCAGTGATAATGCAGATAGAAATTTGCCTACAAGTACGAATTCTCGCAGAACAGGTTGGCCAAACGTTTGCCCACGATACTGAGAGCAGCTTCATTCGCCAATATCAGCGGATCCTCCAGCCTCTCGAATTGGGCGGGGATTTGCTGTCAGCTGCTGGTTGTCCTCATGCCGCTTTGCGCCGATATGACCAACAGCGCGGTGATGCCTTTCGGCTTCCGGTAACACAAACGACACGGTTCAGCTGTTCAGCTGCCTTCGATACACCGGCTTGAAATAGGTACGTTTTCAGTCTGAGGCTGACTGGATTCCGCTTGTGTCTAGTCCTTGAACAGGTTGTTTTCTTCGTGCCGCTTCAACACTACCGTCAGGGTGAGCCCTGAGCCGTGATGTAGCTGGACACTTGTTGTAGTCATCAGAACTGACTGTAGCTTCAGCGGCTCGATTCTCTTTGTCTCTCTTCATTATGAGCCATTGATGATCCATGTCAGATAATATGTGGACGGCACCGGCTTTAGCACACCTTCTCCCTTGATACTCGAATGGAATGGACCGTGCAAGACTTTAGTCGTAGCCGGTTCTGTCGCCGCGTGAGCCTCGGGATGCGAGTGCAGACTTTCATACTGATGATGCTTATCGGCAAGCCCGTGTCCACTGCTTCAAGCATAACAGAGACGTCATCGGCGTTCGTCACGGTGTCACGATGACTCTCAAGGCCAACGTTATCTGCACCGTGTCACCTGCCTAGTGTCCCCGTGCCGGGTCTGATGTTCCTCCAGTTCATTGGCGTCTACTGAGAGCACCGTCTCGTCTCAGATGCGAACTCGGCTGACTGTCCTGGGGTCTCGACAGCCACCATGAGATTACTGTATGATTGAATAATCAAAGACTGCGAACCATGGACTGCTTGTACTTCAATTCTGAAGTACGATTAATAACTACAATTACGTGAAACGTCATTTCCTTTAGTAGATGCCAGTGAAGCTGGGGCAATGGAGCAGCATCACTCACGGGACGGGGACACAGATGACTGACAGGTGGTTAACGCGGCGCATCTGACGGTGCCTCGTAGGTCACCGTGACAGCGAACGCCGATGAATTATCTGTGATGCTTGATGCAGTGGACACGGGCTTGCCGATAATCATCATCAGTACGAAAGTCTGCACTCGCATCCCGAGGCTCACGCGGCGACAGAACCGACTTCGCCTAGCGCCTTGCACGGTCTACTCCATTCAAGTCTCAAGGGAGAAGGTAAAGTATGCTAAAGCCGGTGCCGTCCACATATTATCTGACATGGACCATCTGAATGGCTCATAATGAAGAGAAACGGAGAGAATCGAGCCGCTGAAGCTACAGTCAGTTCTGATGACTACAATTGTGTCCAGCTACATCACGGCTCAGGGCTCACCCTGACGGTAGTGTTGAAGTGGCACGAAGAAAACAACCTGTTCAAGGACTAGACACAAGCGGAATCCAGTCAGCCTCAGACTGAAAACGTATTTCAAGCCGGTGTATCGAAGGCAGCTGAACAGCTGAACCGTGTCGTTTGTGCTACCGGAAGCCGAAAGGCATCACCGCGCTGTTGGTCATATCGGCGCAAAGCGGCATGAGGACAACCAGCAGCTGACAGCAAATCCCCGCCCAATTCGAGAGGCTGGAGGATCCGCTGATATTGGCGAATGAAGCTGCTCTCAGTATCGAGGGCAAACGTTTGGCCAACCTGTTCTGCGAGAATTCGTACTTGCAGGCAAATTTCTATCTGCATTATCACTGATGACACAGCAAATGAACGAATGTAGCTACCTGGATTCTGGATCCTGGGATCCACTGAATCCAGGTTTCGGCATCCACTGGATCCAGGATTCGGCATACACAGATGAACAATTAGCCTATTCATTGACTTTGAAAACATAATATAAGGATATATGTAGACATCCGGATCCTGTATCCAGGGATCCGGTAGATCCAGGATCCGGATCCATATTGATGATAAACCCTGGGTCGGCCCGTGGGATTCAGTATTGATGAAATACGCCATCATTAGTCCACTGATCTCGTCTTTTCTCGCGAATCGCTTTTATTCCGGTGTTACACACCAATCGCAACGGTTCCTTAGCATTAGAGACTGCAACGCCTGAAAGCGTTTGCAGATCTTCATCCATCGCAAATACGCTCATGTCTATGCTTGACCGATCGGCTAAGATTTTGCATGTGTTCATTTGAAACTATGGCCCAAGTTTTTCACTAGATGTACTTAGCACTTTCCAAAAAGTGTTTTTCGCCCCACCCTAATGTACAGTCTGTCTTAAAAGTACCGCGCAAAGTGACGGTGGATCCATCAAGCCTGACCGAAGAAGAGCCTGCTATAATTTGAAAGTCACCGAACCAATTGACCTGGGGAGTGGTCGAGAATGTCAATTGCTTCGGTGATTCAAATTTAGCAGGCCCTTCCTCGGTCAGGCTTGATGGATCCACCGTTACTTTGCGCGGTACTTTTAAGACAGACTGTACAGTCTGTCTTTAAAGTACCGCGCAAAGTGACGGTGGATCCATCAAGCCTGACTGAGGTACGGCCTGCTATAATTTGAAAGTCACCGAACCAATTGACCTAGAGAATGGACGAGGATGTGAATTGCTTCGGTGACTCAAATGCAGTAGGCCCTTCCTCGGTCAGGCATGATGGATCCAACGTCACTTTGCGCGGTACTTTTAAGACAGACTGTACATGCCTTGGTGATCTGTCCTGGAATGCTCCTATAACGGAATGATTATACACTTACCACTGTTCGGTCTGGAATCAAGACCTAGAAGCAGTCGACTGGCAAACTCCTGGCAGAGCCGACGCGTCTCTTCAGTTACCTCCTTCTTCAGCGCCTCGTCTTCTTCGACGCCCCTTATCCGGGCCAGTTCCTCCCATAGCTGAAAAGAGGGGAACAGGAGGTTGGACTTGGCACCTGCTAACTACGATCCTGCCTGCAGCCCGTACATTCATAACTCGTTTGGTTTGGCTTTAAAAACACATACAACGATAAGAAAATCGCACTGTGATATTGAGAATACCACGCTTGAAGGCCAAAAAGTAAAAGAAGACATGCTAATACAGAACAACCATACTCTCGGTGATATATAAACACAACTCATGAAGTTGCCTCGACCATTTTTCGCTTACCAGGAAATCCCAGGCAAAAATTGACTATTTCGGACATTACCGGATAAATGCAACCGTAACTCGAAAACTGTAAAAGTTAGATTGACCGCACAACACATTCGACATGTCTTGCGAACCGGTTTCGAAAATAAAAATGCATGAAAAGTTATATTAATTTTGTCCCATTTAGATGGACTTGTTCGTTGAAAAATGCCTAAAACGTGGTTTAAGCATTATTGTGATAGATTAAAAAATCAATTTAGGTACTAGACAGAAATGTGGCCTGGTACATAGGGAAAGACTGATTTGTGATGTCACAGATGACAATTTTGAACAGAAGCTGAAGCCTGCAAACCTAAAAATAGAAGCCAAAGCCCTGATTGAACACCTCACTTAGCTGCGTTCCTGGATCATTTCCCCTAAATAGCAATACACTAATTTGAATTAACACCACATCTTAACCCGCGCCCCACTGGGGGGGGGGGGCTATTTATAGCCCCCCCTCCCGTTTTTCTGCAATAACTTCGGAACCGCTTGACCTATCGACGCCAAACTTTCAGTACCTTAGGCTGCATCAATTTGACACCTTGTGTCAAAATTTGAACTTCGTACCTACAATAGGTCGGCCGGAAATGACGTCAGAATGACGTCATGTTCGGCCGATTTCGACGCAAAACATTGAACCACGGCAATCGCTCCCAAGAGCTCAGTTTTTATGCTAGATCCAATTTCTTTGCATGAGAGGACTCAGAATTGACTGCGCTATCAAACTGCTATCTCGGATTTTCGAAATTTTGAAAAATTCGAAAATTTAATATAATAATCTCCAAAATTTATATTTTTACATTTTTTTTTCAAAAAGTTTTTGACTTTTCGAAAAAACCGGAATATATGTGATAGAACGCATTAACCCGCGCCCCACTGGGGTCTGTGTATAACACGCCCTACTGGGGGGGGGGCTATTCATAGCCCCCCCTCCTAACTCCGAAACTACTGGGCCGATCGTCAAAATTCAAACGGCGTCTGATAGCCCCGGAAAAACTGTCGAGCGAAACCTAATTTCATTGACCTCGAGGTCACCGATGACGTCACAGGTCAGGTCAAATTAAAAATTATTAGCACTTTGGCTTGTTCACATTTTGGGCTCTGGCCGCCGTCTTACAAGTCAGATCAGACTCATTTTTGGTTTCCACACTCGTGAACAGATGCTCTAAATACCTTGAGGGTACCAAACTTGTACTTTGATTTTCAGGTCAGGGTCAGGTCATCACAGGTCACGAAAATATTATATCATGCGTCGGTCACGTGACACATGTTTTATGGTCCATTTAGGCCATAGATTTCGAATTTGATGTCGTCTGTGTCATTCGAGGTCATTTTGAGTCAAATTTAGCTTAGGTCAGGTCACTTTCAGGTCAAAAAAGGTCAAATTTTGAAGTTAATATTTTTCAACAAAAAAAGGTGTCTATTGGATGCAGTTTGAGCTCAGGAACACGATGGTGCCATTTATATTGGTGTACGATGTCAAATACGTACTGAAAAAGTGATTTGAAAAATTAATAATTGTGAATTTTTTGCAATAATGCGTATAACTTGGCCATTTTTTAAGATATTTAGCTAAAACTTGCTAGAGTTAGTCATAATCATGCGTTCTGTCACATATATTCCGGTTTTTTCGAAAAGTCAAAAACTTTTTGAAAGAAATATAAAAATATAAATTTTGAATATTATTATATAAAATTTTCGAAATTTTCAAAATTTTGAAAATCCGAGATAGCAGTTTGATAGCGCGGTCAATCCTGAGTCCTTTCATGCAAAGAAATTGGATCTAGCTTAAAAACTGAGCTCTTGGGAGCGATTGCCGTGGTTCAATGTTTTGCGTCGAAATCGGACGAACATGACGTCACTCTGACGTCATTTCCGGCCGACCTATGGTAGCTACGAAGTTCAAATTTTGACACAAGGTGTCAAATTGATGCAGCCGAAGGTACTGCAAGTTTGGCGTCGATACGTCAAGCGGTTTGGAAGTTATTGCAGAAAAACGGGAGGGGGGGCTATAAATAGCCCCCCCCAGTGGGGCGCGGGTTAATATGACTGACTCTAGCAAGTTTTAGCTAAATATCTTCAAAAATGGCCAAGTTTTACGCATTATTGCAAAAAATTCACAATTATTAATTTTTCAAATCAATTTTTCAGCACGTATTTGACATCGTACGCCAATATAAATAGCACCATCGTGTTCCTGAGCTCAAACTGCATCCAATAGACACCTTTTTTGTTGAAAAATTTTAACTTCAAAATTTGACCTTTTTTGACCTGAAAGTGACCTAACATAAGCTAAATTCGACTCAAAATGACCTCAGATGACACAGACGACATCAAATTCGAAATCTCTGACCTAAATGGACCATAAAACATGTGTCACGTGACCGACGCATGATATAATATTTTCGTGACCTGTGATGACCTGACCTTGACCTGAAAATCAAAGTAGAAGATTGGTACCCTCAGGGTAGCTAGAGCATCTGTTCCCGAGTGTGTGATCCAAAAATGAGCCTGATCTGACTTGTAAGACGGCGGCCAGAGCCCAAAACGTGATCAAGCCAAAATGCTAATGATTTTTACTTTGACCTGACCTGTGACGTCATCGGTGACCTCGAGGTCAATGAAATTAGGTTTCGCTCGACAGTTTTTCCGGGGCTATCAGACGCCGTTTGAATTTTGACGATCGGCCCAGTAGTTTCGGAGTTAGGAGGGGGGGCTATGAATAGCCCCCCCCCCCCCAGTAGGGCGTGTTATACGCAGACCCCAGTGGGGCGCGGGTTAATCTCAATATCCACACATTGACTTACCTTCGCAGTTCGACTTGTTGCCCTTCGCAAAATCACCGTTTTACACTGCGCAGTGAGAACCAACCGCCTTGTCAACCGCAAACTGAAACACCAGAAAATGGCGGCAACCGGAAACCGTGCAGCGCGCATGCGTGCTACCTAATAGTGCAACTTTACAAATATAGGTGCAAAATCAACTTTCAAAGAGTAATTTCACACCACCCCATCGCCATGCTGGTTTGCTTTTACGCTTTATTTCAGACGTTCCTGACGCCCGGTATATTTTTATGTCTCAGATAGAAATTTTAATCTGAATATGTTCTAAAAATACTCTGCTTACCAATCATGGAGTAGAATTACACTAGACAATTGGTGTCAAATTACGCTTCGTTGAAAATAACTCTAAGTGGAGTATTTATGCACCCTGTGAAACAGAGCGTACAATGTATGAAAGAGTGAAAGTACACTTCTCTTTCCTCTGTATTCCATATAATGGAGTAGTAATGCACCCAGGTGTAATTTTGCACTCACTTTTTCAGGAAAAGAGTATAAGTACTCCTAAAACTGGTGTAAACCGGATAAAAATATCTTGCATGACGGGTGGTAAAAATGTAACCCAGGTGTACTTTTTTCAGTGTAGTTGGTCGAGTCACAGCTGTGACATCAGGACGTAGTCGTCCCATCTCTCCTTCCAGAGGTAGAAGGCGTCACTGCGGTCGGTGGAGATGTCCAGTCGGTCAGGCCGAATCGGCTGCAGGCTCGTCATACCACAGCGATTACGAAGGTCTGTTCTAGAAGCCCTCCACGCCAGCCACCTGGGGAAGGAGAAGACGAAGGCCCGCGCAAGACAGATCGTCTGCTGGCCCGGGATCTACCGGGATGTGGAAAATGTCACCCGCTGCTGTACCAGCTGCCAGAGAGATCTACCCGCTCAGCAGCAAGAGACCATGATGAGGAGACCGCCAGCGGAAAGGCCGTTCGAACTACACATCGACTTTGCCGATCACGCCGGCAGGAAGTACCTCGTGGCAGTGGACAGATACTCCGGGTGGCTGTTTGTCGCCGACCTCGGTGTAAGCGCCCCCGCTTACACCGGTCCGAAGGACGATAGCAGGCGTCATGACGAGCGCACTCGCTACGCGACTAAGCGTAAATGGACGGCACGGGAAAAGGGCTTTCGGCGGTACCCGGCTTTTTGATGTCGTGTTCAGTAAGTAATGGTTTTATCTCTTTATTTAATTGCCCAACTCACTTGGACACCTGATAGCGGATGTCAGAATAACAGCAGCACTCCCATTCATATGTTATTTCAGGTGTCGTCAATTACTGTCCGATTAGCGAATTCCAAGCAGCCGACTTATAAAGCACTAATGTCCTTTGTGTCCATCAAAATCGGACCTTGTATGTTTATTCTGCATCAGATTATTTCCTGCAAAAAAAAAAATAATATCTAAAGTTCATTTCTCAATTATTCAAGTCAAATCAGATGTTACTTTTAATGCAGGTAATACAGAATCATGGTAGAACACAGCACGGGCAATACACAATTCGCTTATGTGACTGCACCTTTTACATTGCTGGTGCCTATTTTACAGGAGCCGTGCGGCGGAACGGGCTTACCCAGGACACCAACAACGGCCAGCTGGAGGTGGCGCCACGAAAGTGGTTTACGGGTGCCAGGAACCGCGACGGAGGCCGCCAGGAGAGGAGACCAGCTGGAGTTTAAGCGGAAGAGCAGATGAGAGAAGTCTAGAGATGAACAGAAGACAGGAGAGAGTTTAAACAGCATTTTTGTGTTTATCGATAATATAAATATTGATCACTGACAGTTTGTTTTGTTGCGATGGCGAACGTTCAGCAATGATCAGGGGGGAGTGATTGAAATAGCAGACATCGATTATATTATAATCATATTGAAATTAATTGTAGGTTCTGGTGGGAACTAAGATGGGCTTTGGTGAATATTTATTGATTAATACAAACGATGCTAGGGAGGTGTGAGCCAGCATGGGGCCCACCTAGGGCCCACATCTGCTGGCCCACGTGGACCCCATATGGTACCCACCTTGAGCCCATGTGGGCCAGCCCAGGTGGGCCACATATGGTACCCATCTTGAGCCCATGTGGGCCAGCCCAGGTGGGCCCCATATGGTACCCACCTTGAGCCCACGTGGGCCAGCCCAGGTGGGCCCCACCATTTACCCAGGGACAAATTTATGTGGGCCCCACATGGGCTGCCCACATGGGTCCCACCAAGTGGCCCACCTGGGCCCCATGTGGGGCCACGGTAATAATGTTGGCTGGGTATGGGTCCCAGCTGGGTCCCATTTCGAACCCACATGGGCTCCAGGTGGGATTTTTCGCTTATACCCATTTGGGTCCCGGCTGGGAAAGCCCATATGGGACCCGGCTGGGCCCCATATGGGTCCCATGTCGAACCCACATGGGCCCCATGTGGGATTTTTCGCTTATACCCATGTGGGTCCCGGCTGGGAAAGCCCATGTGGGACCCATATGTGCCCCGGCTGGGCCCCATTTGGGTCCCATTTCGAACCCACATGGGCCCCATGTGGGATTTTTCGCTTATATCCATGTGGGTCCCGGCTGGGAAAGCCCATGTAGGACCCATATGTGCCCCGGCTGGGCCCCATATGGGTCCCATGTGGGATTTTTCGCTTATACCCATGTGGGTCCCGGCTGGGAAAGCCCATGTGGGACCCATATGTGCCCCGGCTGGGCCCCATATGGGTCCCATTTCGAACCCATATGGGCCCCATGTGGGATTTTTTCAATTATACCCATGTGGGTCCCGGCTGGGAAAGCCCATGTGGGACCCATATGTGCCCCGGCTGGGCCCCATATGGGTCCCATTTCGAACCCACATGGGCCCCATGTGGGATTCTTCAATTATACCCATGTGGGTCCCGGCTGGGAAAGCCCATGTGGGACCCATATGTGCACCGGCTGGGCCCCATATGGGGCCATCTGGGCTGCCCATATGGGACCCAGTTGGACGCCCATGACAAACACATCTGGGCCCCAAGTGGGCAGCCCAGATGGGCCCCAGTTTGCTGCCCACTTGGGGCCCATATGGGCCCCATTTGGGAAGGCTGGCTGGGACATACGCCGAATTGCGATTCCGACCAAACATGGTCTCGAAAAGTAGGTCATAGGTCAAAGGTCATTTGGGTCAGGGTCATGGAATTTGCAGGGTAGGTGTACGAGTATAATTGATTAACGCGAGGGTACTGAAACTTTCGTCGTGATCGGCCGCTTTTTACGCGAGTTATTCGCGAGCCGACATGGGGGGGGGGGGTGCGCTCGACCCCCCCCCCCCCTATACGGGCGAGGGTTAAGATTATGTTCTGGTGAAGGTCAGGTCAAGGTCAGGTCAAGGTCAGGTCAAATTGGATCAAATTTCAAAGTTGATATTTTTGCATGAAATGAGTACTGATTCGATGCAGCTTGTCACGGGGAGTTCAATGGTGGTCTTCGTTTTGCGCTACGTGGTCTAGAATTGCAAAAAAAAATGAGTTCAAAAATTTAAAGTCATCAATTTAGAACAGGGTTTTCGCTATAACTTGGCCAGAAAAGGGGGTGTCGGTCTAAAATTGGGTAATTATATAGAAGAGCGCAGGGTACTGAAAGTTTCGTCTTGAATGGCCGCTTTTTACGCGAGTTATTCACGAAAAACCTTAGGGGGGATTGCATCAACCCCCCTGTGCCGGCGAGGGTTAACCCAGCACCGCCTGGGCTATTTCCGTGCCCACGATAGCCTGGGGGGGGGGGGTCGGATCTGACCCTCCTTTTATCTCAAGAACCAATGGTCGTATCGAGCCACACGAGGCGGCGTTCGAAAGGTCTTTACGAGACCTTCCCAAAGCACACTTAGGATTTTAAGATTGAGTTCAACTTTCGGGTCAAGATCAGGTCAAAGATCAAATTCTGGGGTTTTGCATGATTAGGCTTACGGACAGCGGAATCGATAGCTGCTGCTCGAAACTCACCAAAAATGACCTCAAAAACCTAGTGAAGGTACCATGTGCGTATAGGGGTCATACCAAGTACGGGTCAAGGTCAGGTCAGGTCACGAAAGGTCACGGTTTTCACTTTCTGCTACATGGGCGTGCGACACATGTTTTATGGCTTATTTTTCACGCCGAATCCGATGGTAATGGTTATATGTGACCCCAAGTCACTGTGCTGGTGATTACTGTGCATTGAAAGCATAAAAAATCGTTTATACCATACAAAACTCAACGAGGGCTAAGAAAAAAGTCAATTTTCAACTTTTTATTTTTGACATAAAAATGCACTTTTCTAGACAAGCTTTGTCCCAGGAGTCTAGTTGTGCCATTTGTTTTCACATGCAATGTTCAGAAGTGGATTTAATTCATGAAAATGCTTATGACGTCACCATGCCCTATGCATGTTGGAGCCATTTTTGCAATTTGGGGGTCAAAAATTAAGATAGATAGTTGAAATTAGGGACATCTAATGTTCTGATAGAGCTCTATAACACATATTCCGTTTTTTGGAAATTCTCAAAATTTTGGATTATATTATTAGCTGTTGTCCAAAAATATAGTTTTTTTGAATTTTTAGGGGTGAAAAACGCATTTTATGGAAAAACCGAGGTGGCCATTTTAAATAACTCGTTGAGCTACATCTATTCATGTCCCTAATTTGCAATTTGCTTTAAACCTTGATTTTTGACGATTTTTTAAACATTTACCACTTTTTGACTGAAAACGCCATGTAGTTACATCACTAAAATCGATATATTCAAAAAAGTTTTTGAAAGAAAAAATTCTTAAAAATTACACAGGAGACGCCAAATTGATGGGGGGGGGGAGAAGGTATCCCAAGCTTCAAGTTGATAGCGTAAGCGGTTCATGAGTTATTCAAGAAAAACGGAGGGGGGGGGGGACGGATCCGACCCCCCAGGCGGTCGCGGGTTAATACCTAGTAGTTAATACCATAATAATGTATGTCACAGTTAGGTTCTTCTTAGCAGAACGTTGAGAGCCAGTTAATTGAGTCACGCTTTTATTTTTTTCAGATTAGCCTCACTAGAATTAGATGATGCTCT